CAGTGTCATGAAGCCTTTTTTTGTTTTTTTTTTTTTAGTGGACAGAGTCTCCACTCATAACTACACTGCCAGTGCCGCGAGGCCTGGAGGCAGGGCACGATCTTGCTCACTGCATACCTCACCTCGCCAGGTTCATGATTCACTGCCGTCAGCCTCGCAAGAGTAGGTGAGACGACAGGTGGCCGCACCACCCATTCCTGGCTAATGTTTTTTTTTTTTTTTTTGGTTTGAGAGGGAGTCTTACTCTGTCCCGCCTCCAGGCGGAGTTCATGGTTGATCCTCAGCTCACTGCACTTCCGCTCCCAGTTCATAGCGATTTCCTGGCCTAGCGCCTGAGTAGCGTGGGATTATGGACAGGTGCCATTCAACTTAATAGTTGAACTCTATGGCCAACAATAAAGTGAGGTAGGCTAAAGGAGTAGGGAACTGATATTTATTGAAGACACAGTATGTACTAGGTTTGATAACCCACTTACACCTCAAATTACCTCTGCAGTATAAATGATGTGAGGTTGAGTATATGGCTCGGCTATTTGCTAAGCAAGTAAATGCTTAGCAGTGGCATAAAATAGACTGGGATATGACAATATCTTCCAGAATGTTTATGAATGTAAGCCCTGTTATATACAAAAAGCATATATGAAAAGTATACCTGATATAGTTAATAATAACTCAATTGTACATTTTATAATAACTTAAAGAGTGCAATTGGATTGTCTGTAACTCAAAGGATAAATGCTTGAGGGCATGGATACCCCATTCTCCATGAGGTGCTTATTTCACATCACGTGACCTGTATCAAAACATCTCATGTACTCCACAAATATGTACACCTACTATGTACCCACAAAAATAAAAAATTGAAAAAAAAGTGCACAAGGAGGTGACTGGCATATGTTAGCAGCTCAGTGAATGTTGGGATGGAGAAACTGGGGCTCAAAGAAGTGAAATCACGTGTCCGAAATAAAGTTGATACGTAGTGGAGACAAACACCAGCATTTTCGGTTGAATTCAAAACCCACCTTCTTTCCATTTCACTCCCATGGTTGGATTTTCTACAAGCTTCAGTCTTGGTAGCCCCGACAACTCTGCTCCCCACAATCCCCCAATGTCCACCGACAGTTCTTAGTCACATGATCAGCGAAGTCTGTGAGGTGGTCATCCGGGTCTGGACCACTGGAACTGGAAGAAAGGGCAAAGACTAGAGGACTTGCCCCCCATGCATAGCCACTGACCCTGCTCAGCTTCCTCACCATCCCGACAGCCTGCTGATGGCTGAACTGGAGGCCAGACTGTCAGAAGTGTGTGAACCAGAGCAATTCCATCTTGAATAGGAGCTGGGTAAAATGAGGCTGAGACCTACCGGGCTGCATTCCCAGACGGTTAATGCATTCTAAGTCACAAGATGACATACAAGGTTGACACAAGATACAGGTCATAAAGACCTTGTTGATAAAACAGGTTGCAGTAAAGAAGCTGGCTAAAATCCCTCAAACCAAGATGGTGATGAGAGTGACCTCTGGTCTTCCTCACGGTTACCCTCTCACCAGCGCCATGACAGTTTACAAACGCCATGGCAACATCAGGAAGTTACCCTATATGGTCTAAATAGGAGAAGCATGAATAATCAACCCCTTGTTTAGCATATCATCAAAGAATAACCATAAAAATGGGCAACCAGCAGCCCTCGGAGCTGCTCTGTCTATGGAGTAGTAGCCATTCTTTATTCCTTAACTTTTTCTTTTTTCTTTCTTTCTTTCTTTTTTCTTTTTTTTTTTTTTTTTTTTTGAGACAGAGGTTTGCTCTTGTTGCCCAGACTGGAGTGCAATGGCGTGATCTCGGCTCACCACAACCTCTGCCTCCCCGGCTCAAGCGATTCTCCTGTCTCAGCCCTCCAAGTAGCTGGGATCACAGGCATGCACCACCACACCCAGCTAATTTGGTATTTTTAGTAGAGACAGATTTTTCCAAGTTGGTCAGGCTGGTCTCGAACTTCTGACCTCAGGTGATCTGCCTGCCTCAGCCTCCCAAAGTGCTGGGATTACAGGCGTGAGCCACCATGCCCAGCCTTTATTCCTTTACTTTCTTAAACTTGCTTTCCCTTTACTCTATGGACTCACCCTGAATTCTTTCTTGCACAAGATCCAAGAACCCTCTTTTGGGGTCTGGATCGGGACCCCTTTCCTGTAACAAGACTGTATCCCCTTGGCAGACATATGATTCTGCACGCCCACTTGGTCTCCAATTTCCAGAGATGGAGAAGGAGGGAAAATGCTTACTGAGGCATCTTCTATGAGCAGTCACCATACTAAGCTCTTTATTTACATTGCTTCTTGCACTGTTCACAACAATCCACGATTATCCTCAATTTAGAAATGTGAAAACTGAGATCACTGATGAAAAGCCACACACTGCGTTTTGACTTGGCTCTCTTTCATTCCAGAACCCTTATGACCCAAGATGGAACTGAAATGCCATCCTATTATCAAGAAGGAGCATAAGAACAGCTAGAGGAGAGATGCAAGATTGAAATATCATGGAATGGGCTATGGTTTATCCTCTCTTCTGGTCATAAAACATCATCAGGTTGCAATTGCTCAGATCAGAAATTCCCAAGCTTTTAATAAGGCCCTCAGGGAGCCTCATTCAGGGACAACTGCCCTGTCACTGGGAATAAGTAGAGTGTGTGGGAAATATGTTGTCCTTGGTAAAACCTCCCCTTAGGAAAGAAGGCAAGAGAATTGAGTAAGATAATGATGGGCCAAAAGGAAAAAATAGAGAAAGAGGCTGCATGCTACAGAGAACAAGAGCAAAGATTCGAAAGCTTGGCACAGTTGGGCTTGAAACCATCTGTGTAAAGGGGACTAATAATGCTGACCTCATTGGGTCAAAAATGACGTTTAAAATAATGGTGTTTGCAAGGGACCTAGCACGTATTAAGAATTTAATAAACATTGGTTTTCCTCCCTTCTCCTAGGGATTAGGGAAAGCAACATCACTTTGCTTAAATGCATATAAAAAGGCTTCAGACTGCTTCTTAACAATGAGCATCTTTTGACAGTGAATATGCAAACCAAAAATAAAGAGCAGTTGAGAAACTTTGGCCAGTGGTATCCCTATCTCTGCTTACGATCTGGCTTGTCACGAGGGTTTTCCAACTTGGAAAACAGCAGAGGCTCCTGTTTGCAATGCTCTGTCTCTGACAGGGGTGAGCCTGCCCCTTCCCTGACTCCAGCCCATGCTGGGAACAAAAGGATCTTGGGGAGAAAAGCCCTCCCTCTTGGTGCCCCCTTTGTCATTAGCAGAAGGACCAAACCTTAGAAAGAAAGACTAGAGGTGGAGAGGGTGGGGACAATAGAAGGTTTTTACAGCTGAGTTTTCCTGTGTGCTATGCAATATGCACAAAAGAGAGAACCAGGGCCTGTAGAGTAACAATTCATAGAGTCACAGATTTCAGAATCTAAGGTAAGATCATAATGTGTTGTTGTGATCATTTTATTCACATTCTCTCATCAGTATCAAGCTGATCCTAGGTACAACTCATTGAGACATTCAATGTTCTTAGCATGCACTTTGTTTCTCCTTTAGAAGTATAAGAAGCATTTCAACTATTTTTTCCATGTGTAATTGTTTCCCTTGGACCCTGATGCTTTAGTTCCTGTCCATTGTTGTTTGTCAAAGAGCTTTCATTAACTCATACAGCTTCAGGGAGTTCTGCCTTAGAGCGGGTGTTGAATCCCAACATGTTCCCTGCGTCCTTCAGGGTTGGTGTTAGCCTGTGCCCCTCCTTGCCTGTCCCGCCCATTTGTTCTGCTTTCCCTCTCACGTTACTGAAGGCAAACATCTCAAATGAACCATTTAACCCCCACCCCTACTTTCTTCCAGCTCTGTTGGATCCCGAGGCTTTTAAAACATTTGACTCATTCAAATGGACTTATTCAAACTGACAAAATGCAGTTTTATAGAACTCTAGCCATGAAAACACTATAGAAACAGGCTTTAGGTCTTTATCATTCTGCAGAATAATAAAAAAGGAGAACCAATGTGATTCAAATGGCTGTTTGTGTATTGAGTGCACAGGGCGTTAGGGACCAGGCTTGGGAGACAGCCTTCTGTTTCCTCCCCACTTCATTCCTCTGCTCTGGTACGTTAGCACTTGCCCTCTGGGCAAGCGGGCTGATTATTTCGCTGGGCGACTGCCCACATTTTCCTTTTTTATAACAAGTAAATATATTTCCATTTTAGCTTGGTTTTAGCTTAGAGGCCACACAGTAGGCCTGGGAGAGGAATGGCTTTGCATGTTGAGAGAGGGAAGGCCAAGGCCAAGATCAGTGTGGATACCAGGTAGGTCTGCAAGCCTTTACTGGATTAGACAGACACATGCCAATTACTTCCAAAAGCTTGTGTTTCCTCTACCACCCTCACCTTCTCAAACTTAATGTCTTGTTTATGGAATACCAGGAAGTGGCTGCATGCCATGAGGTGGTTTTTTATGCACAAAAGAGTTCAAGACACCAATAGTCACACTAATTTTTCTTTTTAAATTACTTTTATTTTTCAGTAGCTTGAGCACACACTTAACTAACTTTGTTTTTCTGAGATGCCCAAACCCTGCTTAGGAAGGACTGCCTATGAAATGAAAAACTGTTCCACAATCACTGACAGAGTCCTTGACAAAATAAAGTGTTAGTTTGGCCAAGCAGCAAGAGTATATCACATTTTTATTTAGTTAGTTAGTTAGTTAGTTAGTTAGTTAGTTAGTTAAGAAGGAGTCTCACTCTGTCGCCCAGGCTAGAGTGCAGTGGTATGATCTCGGCTCACTGCAACCTCCGCCTCCCCGGTTCAAGCGATTCTCCTGCTTTAGCCTCCTAAGTAGTTGGGATTACAGGCGTGTGCCAACATGCCGCTAATTTTTGTATTTTTAGTAGAGTGTGTTTTCACCATGTTGGTCAGGCTGGTCTCGAACTCCTGACCTCGTGATTCACCCGCGTTGGCCTCCCAAAGTGTTGGGATTACAGGCTGAGCCACCGCGCCTGGCCTAAGTATATCACATATTGGCTAAGCAAGTGGTTTCCGTATTTGCTGTGTATGGGGATTTACCCAGGTGCAGTTCAGATTCTGCCCCAGAGATTCTCATTCTATGAGCCTAGGCCTAAGTGTCTTCTTCTTCTCTCTCTCTCTTTTTCTTTTTTTCTTTTTCTTTCTTTTTTTTTTTTTGACAGAGTCTAGCTCGTTGCCCAGGCTGGAGTCCAGTAGTGCCATCTCCACTCACTGCGACCTCTGCCCCCTGGTTCAAGTGATTCTCCTGCCTCAGCCTCCTGAGTAGCTGGGATTACAGGCATGTGCCACTGTGCCTGGCTAATTTTTTTTTTTTTCTGTTTTTTAGTAGAGGCAGGGTTTCACCATGTTGGCCAGGCTGGTCTCTGACCTCAAGTGATCTACCTACCTCGGCCTCCCAAAGTGCTGGGATTACAGGCGTGAGCCACCATGCCTGGCACTGAGTGTCTTTTAAAAGCCTTCAGGTGATTCTGATAGACAGCCAGGGTTCAGAACACTTGGGCTAGGCGCTCTCCTTTACAGAAAGATCCAGAATTTATTTTAGAAAGACCTATAAAATAAATTTGTTGTTTGGAGGTCTGTAACTACAAAACTAGAGCTATTGGATTGATTGTACTGTATGTAAATTGTTCTTCTACCATTAACAACCACCCAACAACTGTGTGAATACACTAGACCCTAGTCTCCTCATCTGTAAAATGGAGGCTTAGCTTATATGGTTTCCAAGGTCCCTCGCAGCTCTAACTTTTTATCATTTTATGATTCCTAAATTGCTCCAATTCCTGAAGAGGATTTCAGCTGGAGGAAATAAGTAGGAATTTGAAAGAAAGAGGCTAAAATCATCATCATCACCATAAACAATACTTGATAGAGCCAGATCTTAAATCTGGGTTCCTTAAGGGGCTGTTTATGTGACATAGTTAAGAACACAGACTTGGCCGGGCGCGGTGGCTCAAGCCTGTAATCCCAGCACTTTGGGAGGCCGAGACGGGCAGATCACAAGGTCAGGAGATCGAGACTATCCTGGCTAACACGGTGAAACACCGTCTCTACTAAAAAAATACAAAAAACTAGCCGGGCGAGGTGGCATGCGCCTGTAGTCCCAGCTACTTGGGAGGCTGAGGCAGGAGAATGGCGTGAACCCGGGAGGCGGAGTTTGCAGTGAGCTGAGATCTGGCCACTGCACTCCAGCCTGGGCGACAGAGACAGACTCCGTCTCAAAAAAAAAAAAAGAAAAAAAACTTAACGATGCTCAGCTCAGCTGCTTATGACCTTGCACATATTCCCTAACTTCTTCACCTCAGTTTCTTCGTCTGTAAAGTGGAGTCAGTAATAGCATCTATGTCATATAATTTTTTAGAAGATTAATTGAGTTTATATAAAATACTTCTGTGTTGGCCAGACTGGTCTTGAAACTACCTGAACTTGCAGGAGAATAGTTGTTTTAAGGCACATTATTCAAATTCTCTTTTGCCACATCTATTACGGTCCTGGGTTGTTCTTAAACAGCCGGAGAAAATAGGTCGTTTGGAAGAGTAATCTACTTCAAGCAAATGAAAATAAATACTTTTTGATTTATGTGGGAGACAAAACAGTAGACAATGATTTGACTTACTTGAATATTTATTATCTTACATAATGGTAAAATTCTCTCCAGTGGTTTTCCTATTGCATTTCATACAAGCATGTGATTTGCTTTAGGTGTTAAATGAGGAGGGAGAGTGTCAGAAGCCTCAGGTGGAGATCAGGACATTTGGTTTCCAATCTTACCTCTGCCTTGGCCACAGCACCAGCTCTCGAAACCTCAACCTCCTTGGCCGTGGTAAAGCATGAGTAACTTGTCTAAGGGCCCTATGCACAGTGAATTCTGTTTAGGAGTGACTTTTGGTCAATATATTTTATTTATTTTATTTTTATTTTTTGAGGTAGGGTCTCACTGTCACCCAGGCTAGACTATGGTGATGTGATCTTGGCTCACTGCAGCCTGGACATCCTGGGCTCAAAGGATCCTCCCTCCTCAACCTCCCAAGTAGATGGGACTACTGGTGTGTACCACCACACCGGGATAATTTTTGTTTTGTTTTGTTTTGTTTTGTTTCTGTAGAGACAGCGTCTCCCTATGTTGCCTAGGCTGGTCTTGAACTCCTGGGTTCAAGCAATCCTCCCTCCACAACCTCATGAAGTCCTGGGATTATGGGTGTGAGCTACAGAACCTGGCAGACTTTTGGTCAGTGTGTTGATTTTTTCAAAGAACCAGCTTTCGGTTTTATGGATTTTTTTTTCTCTATTGTTTTTCTAGTCTCTATTTTATTAATTTCTGCTCTAATCTCTGTAATTTTCTTCTTTCTTTTTGCTTTAGATTTAGTTTGTTGTTTTCCTTTCTTAAGGTGGAAGTTTAGGCTACTGATTTGAAGTTACTGTCCTTTCTTAACGTCAACATTCAGAGCTATAAATTTCCTTTTAGTCACTGCCCTAGATATTTCCTGTAAGTTCTCATATGTTGCATCTTCATTTTCATTCATGTCAGGTTATTTCTTTTTGTGAGTTTTCCAACTTTTTTCCTACTGTTGATTTTATTCTGCTGTGTTCAGAGAACACACTTGGTAGTATTTCCTTTTTTTTTCTTTTCTCTTTTCTTTTTTTTTTTTTTTTTTTTTTTTTTTTTTTTTTTTTGACAGAGTTTCGCTCTTGTTGCCCAGGCTGGAGTGCAATGGCACGATCTCAACCTCCGCCTCCCAGATTCAAGCGATTCTCCTGCCTCAGCCTGCTGAGTAGCTGGGATTACAGGCATGCGCTACTACGCCCGGCTAATTTTGTATTTTTAGTAGAGATGGGGTTTCTCCATGTTGGTCAGGCTAGGCTTGAACTCCTGACCACATTTGATCTGCCTGCCTCAGCCTCCCAAAGTGGTGGGATTACAAGCGTGAGGCACCACGCCTGGCCCGTGTTTCTATCTTTTAAAATGTATTGAGGTTTGTTTTGTTGCCTAGCCCATAGTTTATCCTGGAGAACGTTCCATTTGCACTTGAGAAGAATGTGCATTCT